CTTAGGGCACATCCATAATGATAACCATTGTAAAAAATATTTCTTGTTTTTACAATTGCATCGTTTACGTCTCTTGGACAGCACTCGAATTTCTCAATAAATTCATAAGTATATTATTAATCATCATCAAATTCTTTTTATATATAGTCATAAAAATTTAATTAATTGTCAGATGTTTCAAAAATTATTATCTGGGCGCTTGAGTGATTCATTAATAATCCATGAATTTTTAAAGATGTCTAATTTTTTCTAACTTTGATATCTCCTTGATTAACATCGATAATTTGAGTTTCTTCAGTGAAACTAAATTATTATAAGTTGACACTTATTATTTCATAGTCTGAGGCAAGATGTAGAACCTTATTTGCAAATAAATAAAAGTTCGCTGAAGAAAATAAAATGGCTTAAAATTCCTTACTAGGGAGTTACATTTCTAAACCTTTGATCTTGATCATCATATTTTTATTTTGAAGGTCTACAATGTTGATATACTCTGAATCAGAAGATTCCTCTAGACTAAAAACTAAGTACTAATAGCATATAGCCCAATTTTTTATTTTATCTAAAATAGAGTTAGAAGTAAAGTGCTTTACTTTCAAGGGGAAGCTCAAAAGTTTTTTCTCCTTCTTTATTCCATACTTATAGAAGGAAATTATGATTCTAGTAGCTCTCAATGAGTGCTGTCTAAGAAAGCTCGACTACAAGAGGGCAATAGTACATTGATTCGCTATATCGGCAGGTTCCGATGATTTTATATAGATCTTAGCAAAAATTTAAGAACTTAGATGTATCCCTTACCATTAAGTTGAATGAAGTAACTTAAGTCTTTAAAATACTCTTCAGAATTGCAATGAGAAGTGTTTAACGGATCAAGCCATGGATGTTTAAAATAATGCTCACTTTTTATGCTCGCTGCAAGGTAAAATATATTTTTTAAGCTTTATAATACCTGATAACCTTGAAGAAATGTATTCTTCGATGTTTTTAGCAGTTCTATTTTTTGTTATCATATCTGGATATTTTATCACTTAATTGTAATAAATCTTATTAAACTTTCTAGGAGGTATTAAACTTTTTTAAATAATTCTGATCCTATCTGACAAATAAATTGCATAATTTAATTTATATTAATAAAAATTTTATTGTTGTTTATTGAAATTATGATATAAAGTTTACCTACCAAATATTCCAATGTCAGGGGTTTTGGGGTTTTGGGG